CTTTTAAAGAGTATAATTCAGCGGGTTTTAGCGCATTCAAACTGTGTTGCACAACTCTCACCACTATACAATTCCAGAAAATTTTCATCACCCTAAAAAGAAACCCAGTACCCATTGGCAGTCACTTCCCATTTCCCCCTCCCCTCAGCCCCTGCCAAACACTAATCTACTTTCTGTCTCTATAGATTTGCCTATTCCGGACATTTCATATAAATGGGATCAGATAATATGTGGCCTTTTTTGTGTGACTGCACTTAGCATAAATTATTCAAGGTTCACCCATGTTGTAGTATATATCAGTACTTAAATTCTTTTTAGAGCTGCATAAAATTTCATTGTATAGATATACAATATTTTATCTATTCATCAGTTGATGGACATTTGGGTTGTTTCCACTTTTTAGCTTGTGAATAATGCTGCTATGAACATTTATGTACAAGTTTTTGTGTAGACATGTGCTTTGAATTCTCTTAGGTATATACCTAGGAGTAGAATTGCTGGGCTGTAATTAGCAACTCTATGTTTAAACTTTTGAGGATTTCTGAAGCAGCTACAACATTTACATTCCCAACTTCTACACATTCTCACCAACATTGTTGTTGTCTGCCTTTTTTATTTTAACTATTCTATTGGGTGTTAGGTGGTATCACATTGTAGTTTTGATTTGCATTTTCCTCACGTCTAATGACATTAAACATCTTTTCATATGTTTATGGGCCATTTGTATACTTCTGTGGAGAAACGCCTATTCAAATGTTTTGCCCATTTTTTAATTGGGTTATTTGTCTTTTTATTGTTAAATTGTAACTGTTCTTCATATATTCTGGCTCTACCTTTATCAGATGCATGATTTTCAAATATTTTTTCCAATTGTATGAGTTTATTTTCACTTTCTTGATAGTGTCCTTTGAAGTTCAAAGGTTTTTATTTTGATGAAATCTAATGTATCTATATTTCCTCTGTTTGTTTGTGCTTTGGGTGCCACATCTAAGAAACCATTGCCTAATCCAAGGTCACAAAGATTTGCACCTATTTTTTCCCCAAGAGTTTTATATTTCTAGCTCTCACATTTGGGTGTTTTTTTTTCAATATATCGAATGAAGAGTAAAACTTGCAACAAGAAACAAAACTACATTTAATATAAACAACCAAAGTAATGTGAATAGAAAGATCTGTATTACAGGTTCTGTTGTACCTCTGAACAATCATGTGAATGAAGGGAGCACTTTACCTCTCTGAATCCCAATTTTCTCATCTATAACATGGGCTAATGAAATGTTGGTCTCTAAGGAAACTGTCAGCTCCAGTAAAATCATGGAAGCAGATGGAACAAAGCCTATTCTTTTAAGAAGAAAATAATGAATATGAAACTGGACATAAGAATCATGTTAATGGATACAATGGAGAAAAGACAGTCTCTTCAATAAATGGTGTTGGGAAAACTGGACAGCCACATGCAAAAGAATGAAGGTAGACCACTATCTCACGCTATACACAAAAATAAACTCAAAATGGATCAAAGACTTGAAGATAAGTCCTGAAACTATAAAACTCCTAGAAGATAATATCAGTAGTACATTCTTTGACATTGAACTAAAAAGGATCTTTTCAAATACCATGTCCTCTCAGACAAAGGAAACAAAAGAAAAAATAAACAAGTGGGAATTCATCAGACTAAAGAGCTTCTGCAAGGCAAAAGAAACTAGAATCAAAACAAAGAGACAACCCACCAATTGGGAGAAAATATTTGCAAATCATATATCTAACAAGGGGTTAATCTCCATAATATATAAGCAACTCACCCAACTGAACAATAAAAAAAACAAACAACCCAATCAAAAAATGGGCAGAGGACATGAACAGACATTTTTCCAAAGAAGATATACAGATGACCAATAAACACACGAAAAGATGTTCAACATCACTAATCATCAGGGAAACGCAAATCAAAACTACACTAAGATACCACCTTATGCCTGTTCAAATGGCTATAATCACTAAGACTAAAAATAACAAATGTTGGAGAGGGTGTGGAGAGAAGGGAACCCTCATACACTGCTGGTGGGAATGCAAACTGGTGCAGCCACTTGGGAAACAGTATGGAGATTCCTCAAAAAACTAAAAATAGAACTACCATATGACCCAGCTGTCTCACTACTGTGTATCTACCCAAACAATTTGAGATCAACAATCCAAAGTAACATAGGTACCCTTGAGTTCATTGCAGCACTATTCACTATAGCCAAGACACGGAAACAATCCAAGTGCCCACTGACTAAAGATTGGATAAAGAAGATGTGGTTTATATATACAATGGAATACTACTCAGTCAGAAAAAAAGACAAATTCATCCCATTTGCAATAACATGGAAGGACCTAGAGGGAATTACGCTAAGCAAAATAAGCCAGTCTGAGAAAAACAAACACCAGATGATTTCACTCATATGTGGAATATGAACATGGACAAAGAAATACATGTACAAAGAAAACAGTTCAGAGGTTATGAGGGGAAGGGGGTTGGGGGGTGAGCACAGGGGGTGAAGGGGAGCAGTTATGTGGTGACAGTCAAGAAATAATGTACAACTGAAATCTCTCATTGATGTAAACTATTATGAACTCAATAAAAAAAAGAAGTATAAAAGAAAAAAAAAAGAATCATGTTAACGGATATATCCATTAAATCATACCAGCAAGATTCCTTCAATTGATGCTCATACTTGCTGAGAACTAAAGGTGTAAAGTGTTTAGGAAATACCACAAAAAGAAGACAAAAATCCAAGTCATTCATTTGGGAGTATTTATCTGGACATTTGGGGTTTTGATACTTTTTTTCAGTTAATTTTTGTATATAGTACAAAGTAGGGATCCAACTTCATTTTTTTGCATGGCTTTTGTTTGTTTTTTGTTTTTTTCTGAGGAGATTCACTCTGAGATAACATCTGTTACCAATCTTCCTCTTTTTGCTTCAGAAAGATTTGCCCTGAGCTAACATCTGTGCCAACCTTCCTCTATTTTATATATGGGATGCTGCCATAGCAGGGCTTGATGATCCACATCTGGGATCCGAACCTGCGAACCTCAGGCCTCCGAAGCGAGCATGCAAACTTAACCACTATGCAACCAGACCAGCCCCAGGCCATTACTCTTTATAATATTCTTTCTGCTCCTTTCTCGCTCTTCTATTCTTCTGGGACTTCCGTTATGTGCATATTGGTCCTCTTGATAGTGTCCCACAAGTCTCTGAGGCTCTGTTCATTGCTCATCATTCTTTTTTCTTTCTTCTCCTCAAACTAGATAGTCTCAATCAATTTATCTTCAAGTTCTCTGATTATTCCTTATGCTTATTCAAATCTACTGCTGAGGCCCTCTAGTGAATTTTTTTATTTCATTTATTGTAATTTTTAACTCAATAATTTCTTCTTGGTTCTTTTTTTACAATTTCTATTTCTTTTGATAGTCTCTATTTGGTGAGATATCATTCTCATTTGTTCCTGTAGTTACTTGAACATATTTAAAATAGCTTATTTAAAGTATTTTTCTACAAAGTCCAACATCTGGGCTTCCTTGAGGACAGTTTCTGTTGACTGTCTTTTTTTCTGTGTATAGGCTATACTTTCTTGTGTCTTTTCATATATCACAATTTTCTGTTGAAAGCTGGATATTTTAAATAACATAATATGGCAACTGCAGAATACAGATTGTCCCCCTTTCACTAGGGTTTGTTGCTATTGGTGTTTGTTGGTGGTGGTGGTCATGCTTTAGTGACTTTTCTGAATTAATTGTGTAAAGTCTATATTCTTCGTTACATGTGGCCACCAAAACTTCTGCTTAGTTAGGTGTTCATCTAATAATTAGACGTTCCCTTAGATGCCTGAACTCAATAAGTTTCCCAGTCTTTGCTGAGGGACTCTGTGTGCATGTGTGGGCATGCTTTCAACAGTCAGCGAGGCAGTTTACAACTCCACCTTAGCCTCCACTTCCTGCTTGTGCAGAGCCTCAAGATTAACCAAAGTGGAGAGCTTAGAGTGAGAGGTGAGAGCTTAGACGTCTTTCCTGAGTATGTGCACGTCCTTGGGCATGCACACAATACATTCATGTGACCTTTTAGATTCCCGGGAACAGGACATAGCTTTTCAAAACCCCCTATGGATATCTTGCTCCCCAGAATTTCCCTTTGAAGCCTTTTTGGTTAGCCCATTGTTTGCCACAATTGTTATTCACTGCTTCAGGTAGCTGAGATGTCAACATTTGCTTCTCATTGTTGTTAACAAACATCTCTAATGAAAAGGCTATTCACATTAGGTGACCTCTGAGTTAGGCCAAATAAAGATAGTTCTGCAAGTGGGGTCTTCCAGTGAACCACCAGACAAGTCCAATCATGACAAGTCTCTGGGAATGGGGATTTGAGGGAACCTCAACCCAATTCTACCCTCTCCAGTGTCTACCAGGCTGCTGGTTTTCACTGTGGTTTACAGACTGTTGGTTTTCATGTCCACTGTGGAGCTAGGAAGGGTGGAGTGGGGGATTGAATGGGACAAGGTAAACACCACAAAGCTCTGTACTCTTATCAAAATTCAGCCATTTTTCTTGAATAAATGTTCCCTAGATGGCAGTAAGCCCTGAGATCCAGGAAGCTCAATGAACCACAAGTTAAATAAATAGACATGCAAACACCAAGGCACATCATAACCAAGTTGCTGAAAACCAATGATAAAGAGCAAATCTTTAAAGCAACCAGAGAAAAGAGACATTTCACAGATAGAAGAGCAATAATTAAAAATATCACTGACTTCTCACCAGAAATAATGCAAACCGAAAGAGAGTGGAGTATCATCTTTAAAGTGATAAAAGAAAAAGCTATAACCTAGAATTCTATATCCAGCAAAAATATCCTTCAAAAATATAGGTGAAATAAAGGCATGTTCAGACAAAATAAAGATGAGAGAATTCACTGCCAACAGACCTTCAGGTGGAAGATATGTATGTGAATAATATAAATGACCTCTTAATCATTTAATTCATTAAAAGACAATTAATTATTTAAAGACAAAATAATTACAATGTAATGTGAGATTCATAATATAAGTCTTCTGGTCTCAGGGTTCTCCTCTGTTCATGGATTCTTTTAATACAACATGGCATGATAAACTGATATACATCCCCAGGTAAGATCACAGCAGAGAAGAGGGACACCAGGCCTGCATTCATGCCTAAACAAACAAAAAACTGTAAGAAGCAGATATATTCTCTTATTACCCAAATACACTTTGTACTCCTCAAGCCTTTGTTCCCCTTTACCTCCTCCTCTCTTGTTGAGAATAACTTCCCCTATCCATCTCTGTCTATCCAAAATCTGACTTTCTTTCAGGGTCCCATTCAAATCCTTGCTCATTCATGAAGCTTCTCTTGACTCACCCAAGGACACCTAGCTAGTTAACAGCAGTGCTAGATTTAGAACTTGGTCCTCCTGACACTTATTTCAGTATTCTTTATACCGTAACAAGGGTTCTCAAGGTTTATCAGGCGGCAGATTGCATGAAAGTATTGGCATTTTTGCAAAACACTATGAAATGGTACTTTTAAATTTTTTCAAGTTATGTGCTATGCTTAATCAGGTACTCTCTTGCACTAGATTCTAGCACAGATCAGACATCAAAGCTTAAGGAAGTATTGGAATAAAAAACATAATGCTGGGAAAATTATTTTTCTAAAATCAAAAAACGGCACTCATTTTTTCAATATTTTAGTGGCAAAACAACCTTATTTTGCCTAAAGAATACCAGCGTTCTGTGGAACAATTGAAAGATTGTCATACCAGGTGCCATCCTGAGATTTTAGTTCATTCTCCATGAAAGTTTCTGAGCGACACTTTACTGAGGCTGAACTCCATTCCAATTCCCAAGGAGATGTGCAGAAAAAGAATTTCCCCAGTCTCATATTGCTCTAAAATAAAGTGGACTCTGTTATTGGGCAGAGTTTCATTTTAGAACAAAGATACCTGGATTTGTGGCCTAGAACATGGCTCATTCCGTTATTCTAGATGTAAACTCTCTTAGTTACTCAAATAGACTCTCTAGTCTCAGGATATTCTCTATAATATGTCTTTTAACACATACATTCATGTTAAACAGAGAAAATCCTGACATGGAAAAGAGAAGCCGTTTCCACAGACATCTTCTTCGTATGGCACTAATTAGGGATCCTGGTGCTGAAGGTTTGCCTTTGTTTGGAGCACATGTGGATCTCTAGGAGGAGGTGAAGTACTGCATTAACTTATGATGCTTGGTACCAAGACAGGTGACAAAATCTTTGCCAATAATTCCTGAAAGAAGTCCACCTTTCTCACCAGAGGCCTAACGAGTCACACTGCTGAGAGATGCAGTATGGCTTAAGCTACGCCAACTCCCAGGAAAAGGGACTCTGTGTTCTCCATAGAAGAGACAAGGACACAGGGGCCAGGCTGGTTTTCCAAGGTAAATTAAGCTCCTTCAGAAGAGCTACTGCCTCAGAGTCCCGGCAGTATCCAGAGGATGGAGCACAGCTGGCCTTAGTCACCACCACTAAGGGCAGAACAAGAGGAAATGAGTCTAAACCTCATCAAGAGAAATCCAGGTTAAACAAAAGGAAAAATCTGTGAAGACCGTTAGCGGGATACAATGCCCTTGTGTTTGCCAAGTATTTTTTAAACTATTCAACTCTCCTCAACAGTGGCTGTGACTAATTAAAAATCATGTCACCATATTCCGAAATTTAAACTGGCTATAGCCACAACCACCTTCAAGAATCTATTACTACGCCTCAGGAACTGCTATAATACAACCCAGAAACGGTTCCTGGGATATTTCTATACAATGTGAGAATTCAAATTTAGTTGAATTTAGTTTTCACTGTCTACTGAAATAAACTTTGTGAGGCAACCAAGCTACGTGAAGAGACAGAGAGAATTTTTTTTTAAATATGTTTATTCAGAATTGGAGAAAAGCCACATAATTTACTATACTATTTCAAGCCTAAACTTAGAAAGATATCTCACCATCATATAACATTATGTGGCAACCAGTTTTTGCAAAACAGTCAAACTCCCAATCAGTAATAAGGAATCTTGGAATTCAAAAGTGTGTATTGTTCTTTGGCTAAAAATAGTAGAAAAATCTCAATCCCTTAAATACAGAGTAATCTCTTATAATCTCTTTAATTTACTGCACTTCCTGTGACCAACAAAACCTTACTGAATACCTATTATGTGCCTATTATGTGTAAAGCTTTTTATAAGCATCAAACTGAAATTTTAAATATAAGAAAAAAAGCCTTCTTAAAGATGTTGTAAACATTTAGCATGTCCCGAAAATTATATTATACATTTTAGACACGAGAATGTAATTTAACTAGTTATATGTATTTCTCCTTCTCATACTCAGCAGGTATATTTTCTCAAACTTCTGAGACCTGTATAAAATTCAGTTTCAAATAATCTTTTTAAGAGCCCAAGTCTTTAAGAACACATTTTAGAATTGTGACACTAGTTCCCACAAATTCAGTGATGAGTACTTGCACAGGAACATGTACAATTACGTTCCCAGTCCCCCTCCCCCGACCCCATCTTTCACTCCCCCCCGCCTCTCACTCCCCGCAAGCCCCACCTTCCCGCCCCTGGGGATGTCTGATCTCCAGTCTGGGAAAGGAAAGTACCTCCTCCACATCCTCTCCCAGGGTCTCTCCCCAGGCCTGCGTCCATGGGGAGAAATGCTGACTCACAGCCTCGGCGGGTTAGCAGCTCTCACTTCCCCAGCCCTGCTAAGTGGGACGGCAAAGCCGAGCAACCCAGTGGGTGTGGAGAAATTGTCGTTACACTCTCCAGAGGGCTGTGGGAAGGAAACACCCCAAAGCCTAGAGCGTCTGGCCGACTGTAGGAGCTGCAAGCAAAGGCACCAAAATGTTTGGCTGCCACAGGGGAATGACAGAAAAGGAAGAGAAAGAAAAGAAAGGAAATTAAAGGTCAAGAGGACAGAGAAGGCAAAGGGAGAAAAAGAGAAAAAAAGAAATGCCTAAGGTGAAGTGGTCCGTGGCCTGCCCACCCCTCCTTGAGGGTCACTGTTCTTCCCCTGCCCCTCCTTCCCAGCTGGGGCCTCTGTGCAGGATGTGCCCCTGTCCCTGGGGGCAGCCAGCCAGCAGAGTGTCTCCTTGCTTTCAGCTGACTAACAAATAATCTTTGGCCAGACACTTGCAAACTTGTGTTTATTTGATTGCTCACCAGGTTCCCTTCCAAAAGCTTTTCACTTTTCATTCCACAAAGGAGAAAATTTAATGGAAGTGACTTGCCCAAGAACATAGTTCAAGCTATCTCTTGTCGACCAGACCCAGAGGTAAACTACTGCTCTGCCCAGGACAATACCCACTGATAATAATCTATGATTCTATGTACTTTAGAACCCTGAGGGCCACGTTTCATCATCTCAGAAATTTACAGTGTTACTAATAAAAGAAAAACTCCCTTTCATTCTCAAAAGCAGTTGTGTTATCCTAGAACTATTCTAACTGTAAATTCCAGAATAGGCAAAACTAATCTGTGACAGGAAGAAGTCAGAACAAATTGCACACTCAGTAACAATTGTCAAATACTTTTTTATCAACATTTTATTATAAAATTTTCAAACTTCCAGAAAAGTTGAAACAATTTTATAGTGAAAAACCATATGCCCACCATTTAGATATCATAAATAGCATTTTATTAACTTGCTTTTTCACATATAGATCTCCACGTACCTATCCTTCTACCCATTCATCAACACATCTTGATTTTTGGAAACACTTCAGAGTAAGTTGCAGACATCAAAACACTGCGTCCCTAGACACTTACGCATGCATTATCTTTAATTAGAGTTAAGCATTTTGTATGATTTTTTTTTCCCTTTTTGGTAAAATCTACACACACTGAAACACACAAATCTTAAATATATCATTGGAAAAGCTTTGATAAATGCATACAGTTGTGTAACCCAAACCACTAGTAAGTATTAAGATATAGAACATGACCATCATTCCAGCAAGTCCTCTTCATGCTCCTTCCTAGTCAATCCCATGCGTGTACCCCCAGCAATCTAGAGAAGATCAGAACTCACCAGGTAAAATGGGCTTTGAACAGTTCTGGGAGCAGTAGGTAGTCCTTGAGCTTTATTAAATGTAAGCCTCTTGATCAAAAGTATAGAGGTTTATGATGTCAGAATCTAAATGGGGCCGGTTGTTCAAGAACTATTGAGCTGAGAAAACCAAAATTTCCAGATGTAAAGTAGCTATCCAGAGCCTCCAAAGGTAATTTTCATATTGACTCATTAAAATTTTTATTATAAAAATAATGCATACTTATTGTAAAAAATTCAGAAAATGTGGAAAAATATTTTTAATAGAGGTAATTCATAACCCAATCTCCTAAGATAATCACCATCAATATTTTGCTGTATATCTTTCTATACTTTTTTCTAGGCTTGTGAAAACAATTTTTCCTATAAAAATGTTGCATTTATACATACGATTCTGTAACTTTAACAATAAATTATAAATGTATGTCAATATCAATAGATTCTACATCATTTTAATAACTACATAACATTCCAGTGAATTGACATAACATCATAATTTATTTAATTGGTCCCCTACTATTGGGTGTTTAAATGATTTCTGGGTTTTGGTTGTTATAAAGACACTGAAATGAACATTCTTATACATAAATCCCTATTTACTTGTTCAATCATCTCCTTAAGATAAATTCCCAGTACAAGACTTCAGTCAAAGAAATGTAAAAAGTTCTTTAAAACTTGCTGTGTTCCACTCACTCGAAGGAGTTTCTTAGTGGTAAGGAGCTTACCATAGGATTAAATTAGATAAATTTCCAAATGGTTCTTCCATGTTTTTTTCTGCAGCATACCTCCTTAAACTTACCAGTGTTTTCTAGGGGTCCTGGGTTTTGTTTGGCTTCTTTTGGTTTCTTGTGGGCACCAACCATCCTCTTCAAATCAGAAGTCTGGTGAGCAGGCCCACATTTACTCCAATAAGAGGTCCTCTTCTTGAGAGCAGTCCAGATGCTCAGACAACTGGAAACCACTGGGTAAACTGAAAACCCCTTCCTTCCACCACAGTCAGCTTAATGCCATAATTTCAGATGTACAATTATGTCTGAAAATGGGCCCATGAACACTGAGTCAAATGTATGAGAGAGAAATGGCTGCTCTGGGAGCACCAGGGATAGTGTTACACTCGTTCAATACAGTCTATACCTGCCCATATGATGGAGAAGCTAGTAAAGACATCCCCAAAATTTATCCTCAAATTTTATTTATTATTAAATGGTGGCGAGATATGCGGACACCTTGGAGGGAAAGATGGAAACATATGACATGCTGATATTGCCTCCAACAAAGTAACAGCAGCTGGCGATAACTGGTCCTTGTCCTAACCCCAGTACCTCAGAATGTGACTTTATTGGGAAATAGGGTCATTATAAATGTAATTAGTTAAGATAAAGTCATACTGGAGTAAGATGGGCCTCTAAACCAATGTGACTGGTCTCCATAGAAAAAGGGGAAATTTGGACACAGAAACAGACAGGCATAGAGGGAAGACAATGTGAGGACACACAGGGAGAAGACAACCACCAGAAGCTAAGAGAGAGAGATGGAACAAATTTCTCCCTCACAGCCTTCAGAAGGAGCCAGCCTTGCTGACATCTTGACCTCGGACTTCTGCTCTCCAGAACTGTGAGATGCTAAATTTCTGTTCTAAATCACCCAGTTTGCAGCATTTTGTTACGGCTGCCCTAGCAAACTAATAAACTTCTCTACCCACCTTTAACACCAGAAAGAAGTGAAATGCTAAAAGAATAAAGGGATTCACTTTCCAAAATCCTGCTCTTCTTTGGAAATAAAAAATGTTAAACCACAGAAATTAAGTCATAGCATCAGATAGTTGATTAGGCTCCAAAAGAGAAAAATCCCATCATTAGGGAATGAAATAACTGCCCTAATATGCAGAGGCATCAGCTGGAAAAGAGCTGAGGTTTGACCCAGGCATGTCCAAGGACAATCTCTCCACCTGCACTGTCTTTGGCAGACTTTCACCTCTTCTGAATTCTGACCCCATTTCCCTTTTCCTTCTCCTTGGCCCTCAGAAACACAAGGCTCACAAGCTGCCTCCGGCCGTAGCCCCCACTACAGCACCCCACCCAAACCAACCCTCCTCCGGAGAACCACATTCCCAACACATCTTCCTTCCTCCGCCTTGTTCCACAAACAAAACACCTAGGCCTTCCGAATCAGAGCTCTGCTAGATTTTCAGAAGAAAGCAATCTGAATTATCTAAAGTAATTTATACAAACGTGTATATAAGATATACAAATGCCTGAGGAGTTTGTAAAGCAAAGAATCTCTATTTGGCAAAATATGTGGGGCAAATAACTTCAGTAAGGTGCATTTTGGGTGTCACTTGATGACTGGGCAACTTTCCTTACTCTTCCCCCATCCGCCTTTCTCATAGACTTCTGGTCAGGGGTCTAGGAAGTCATTAGCCAGTCCCCCAAATACTGTCCTCCATTCTATTCATCCTTTTGTCCTTTGTTAAAATGCATATGTCCCTGGGAAATTTACAGCTCAGGGTGGTTGGCCTCTCCTGAGAGTCACTGAGGGGAGGCAGAATGTTAATACCCCAGGTTGGAAGGTGGGGAGAGATGCAGAGAAGAGCGCCACAAAAGACAGCCTATCTAAAAGACCTCGACATCATACTTATGCTGTCCCATGATTCTGTCTAACACAGAAGCAAAACCTTCAGTAAGAGCTTTGTCTCTCAGGTGCTCTTAGATGTCATGGTAAAAGCAGCTTAACTGAGCATTTTCCATGCCTCAGCCACTACCCTCAGCACTTTTTAGGTATTAACTCATATCATCTTTACAACAACCCTAATAAGTGGGTGCCATTATCCCCCTTTTACAAATGGAAGAACAGAGCTACCAAAGGGCTAAGTAATTTGCCTAATACAGAGTGAAACTTGTATCCAAACCCAGGCAGACCGACCCCACAGGCTCCTGCTCTAATCATCACAAGGCAGGGAAACCTCACATGTGATGTGCGCTATTATTATTTCAGCAAAAACATATAGTAATCGGTTGAAGCATCTGCTGACCCATTTGAGATACAGCAAATGTTTCCACATAGCTGCACAAAGCAGGCATCAGGAGCTCTGACAGGCCAGCCTGCCTGTCATGGAGTCAAGAGGCCTCCTCCCCATCCACCTCCGGAGTGTTCCACGGTGGCAGTCCAAACAGCTTGTCTGAACTGTCACACTAAGGGAATTTATTTCCAAACAGAACAAAAGAAAAAAAATCCCAAATGTCTGCTGTCCTTCCAGGATTTAAAAGGCCTGATGTAAGAAAGTAAAAATAACAAAATTAAATGTGAAATTCTAGTGAGTATAATGCCTCCAATAGTTTGTTTTACCATAAATTCCTAATCTGCCTGTGCCTTGTCACTTCAGTAAGAGAAACGTGAAGCGTATCAGCGTCTGACTATAAAGCAAGCTGTGGCTGAACCTAAGGAAGGCTCTATCAGACAGGCTGTGATTTCAGGATGTAAATCTGAGCTGGTGATGGTTTTCAGTTTTATTGCTCAACAAAGAGGGCAGCTCTAAGAATTTCACACACACACGCACACACGTGCACACACACACTTGTCTTACAGAGCGATCCTAGTGATGAAAAACAAAACACAGTACTGTGAAGTGAATGCCTCTGCCAGGACAGGGCCCATTCAGCCTTTCAGGGAGAGCCTGAAAGCTGCCCTTAGTGCTCCTCAAAGTCTTGCTCATCCAAGCCCATCCAGGCCCCAAGGGAGAAGGGACTGCTGAGTTTCCCACTTCTCCAGCCCAGCAAGCCTCCTGCATGCAACAAGGCCCAGGGTCCACCCCCTCCCCGCAGGAAGGGTACTCCATTAGCTGCCAACAAGCCTGATGAGCTGAAGTGTGCAAGACACAAAAGGGGATGAGGGAGCAGAATCTTTCCCCCCAGAGGATGGAAGCAGCACTTCCCAAGGGAAGGTGCAGGTCACCAGGACAGGAAGCTTGAAAGATGGGGCTGGAGAAGGAAGAGAAAAGGAGTAAGAGGCAGGGGTAAGAGATGCCTGCTCTCGCTAAGAGTAGTGCCCAAAGAAAATATCTCTGAGAAATGAGGTAATGAGTGAGTTGGATCAACCTACAACCTTTGATCCCTTCTTCTATACTGAGCAGGTCAATCAACTACCCAAATCCATAACGGTCCTGAGTAGGTATCACCTGAGGAAGAGCAGCAAGGAAGGAGGTCCTAGAGAAAGGAGCAATGACCAACCATGTCATCATTCAGGGTCCTCCATCCTCGCAAAGACTGGCTGAAGAATGGGCCACTCTGTGGATTAGAGCTGGAGACCTGGGTATCACCAGCTGCAGGGGGCGGGGGTTCGGAGGACCTGAAGCCCTGCAGCAGCCAAGACACCCCACCCCCACCCCCAGGAATAAGAGACAGCAAGACTGCACTTCCTGGTGTTCCCCATCTACAACAGATTGACAATAAACCATCTGGAAAGAGAGGAAAGGTGGAGCTTCTGCTACACAGGCGTTACATTGCTGACGTTTACGTTTGTTCTGTTTGCTCCTTTGTAGTGAAGAGCTCTGAAGTCCTCAAAACAAAAACAGTATTTGCTGATTCAGAGAGACAGAAAGTAGAACAGTGATTGCCAAGGGCTGGGAGAAGGGGGAAATGGGGAGATAGTGCTTAATGGGTATAGTTTCATTTTGCAAGATGAAAAGGGTTCTGTGGATGGATGATGGTGATGTTAGCACAACAATGTGGATGTACTTAATGCCACTGAACTGTACACTTAAAAATGGTTAAGATGGTAAACTTTATCTTATGTGTATTTTACCATAATTTTTTTTAAAATGCTAATGTTTTTGCTGGTCTTCAGGGTCAACAGAGAAAAGGGAAGCGTAACCAGGTGGATGTGTCCCACTCCACAGCTAATTCTTAAGAGATCAGAAATCTAAGGGAAAGAAAGAGTGTTAGCAATTGCTAAAAGGAAAGAAAGGTAGGAGAAGGAGAAAGAGGAGGATAAGGGGGAAGAGAAGGATAAGGAGGGTATAGGGAGGAAGAAGAAAAATCAAGAGGCAGGATGAGCATCTGATCTGGCCCCAGGGTTTGGCAGTAGAAAAGCCTTTGAGTGACGTGGAAGTAGCACATTCCTGCAGGCCCACCCCATGAAAAGGCCATCCCCCTCACTCTTCTTTGTCTTTTCCAAACCATTGCTGTTCTATCTTTCCTCTAGAACCTCTTCCTTTGAAGCATGTGCTATCCTGTAACACCATCCTTTTCCATCCTCTCCCCCAGCATGTCTGAAGGCCTTGGCATCTGCTCAGTCTTTATCCATCCTGGACTCCTGCCAGCATCTGGGTAACTTCAGTGTTCATGTTGATGACTCAGCCAATCTGATTTCCTTGGTACTCACCAAGTGCCAGGTACCATATCGTAACTTTGCATCATTATCTGTAACCCTCACAACAAACCTAAAGTTAAGCTATAACACCCAAATTCAGAGATAGCAGGAGCTGGGATTCTAAACCATGCTGGTCAGACTCCCAAATTCATGCTCTCCTCTCTTTAAAACAATACCTCGGAATGCATCTAAAATGTAAACCTGGAAATCCTGCTCTCTGACCATACACTCTTACCTTGCTACCTCTCCCACTAAACCTCTACCTCCACCTCATCAAATGTCCAACTCGTCAATCCCTGCCTTTACTCCAAGTTTATCAACCCTTCCTGATGCTTCTTCCTTCCATACCTGTGCACAGAGGAAATGCCAGGAAAATTCCTCATGAGACTGTTTCTTTGGCTCAATGCCCATGTAATGAAGCCCCTCCCTTTGATCACCAGACTACTGATTAAATTAGTAAAATCTTCTAGGTCTAGAATTATAAGAAATGTTATGATGGTGATGTAAGTGCTGGATTGAACTTTTAATAAGTGTGTTAGATTGGTTGGAACTAGGTGGAGAGAAAACAGCTGATGGCAGGTGGCAACAGATAAGAACCATGGCTACTCCCAGATGTAGCCATGTACTCCTCATAAAAATGAGGCCCCTGTGCTTCCTCTTGGGGCTCTTGATCTAGCAGGAGCACACTCTCCGACCATGACGTCACTGCTGGCATCCACTGAAAGACATTCTGTCTCTCTCCATCCTGAAGACAGTGACTCAGCACTCTAGGGGTCCCACAAGTAGCTGAAAAAAATTCTCATTCCCTTTACCTTCCATCATCATAAACCCACTACCACTGAATGAGGAGGACAGTAAAATGTGCCCTTCAATAGGGACCTCCCTTCCGTCTTCTCCAGGATCAAGGTTTGCAGGGGGGAATTGGAGAGTAAATAAAGTGGACTTTTGTACTTAAATGCGGAAGCACACGTATGCCTGTGCATTCTTTGTCATTAGGCATGACAAAAATCTAAATGAATATGAGATAGATCTGTGACAAGTTCTGAGCCCTTGGTCATCAATAATACAGACAATGATACCTGCTCAATCACTTCAACAACATTCTCATCAATGTCTCCGTTCTCTTGCCCTGTCATCTTGTCCTTGTCCCCTCTTTCTGATAAACCCCAGGAACTCTCTGATTTCCCCAATTCTGAGAGGTCTAGTACTACTGAAGAGAATCACAAAACCATGTTGATTACCTAAATTACAAATTTAAGATCTCCAACCTCTGCTCTGCCCTAACTATTCCTCCATTGTGTTTCCTTACAGCAGCACTTCCAAAGCTGCTCCATGTTCTTCAAGTCCCCTGCCCCAATCCTAACCCCTTTATCTTCATAAGACAACACTGCTTCCTAACTTCCAAAAAAAAAAAAAAAAAAACAGTCGTCCACAACTTCCATCCCTTCTACCTTTCAGGTTTTATTTCCACTCATCTTCCCCATTTCCTTCTTGTCCAGAAAGAAAAGTATCCTACTCCTTTCCAGGGCCACTCACTCCATCTGCATTTTGATCCCATCCTTGGCTTCCTCTTCTAAAATATTTCATCAGTTCTTGAGTCTTCTCCTTCCAAACAATCACTCAATAAAGCGAGCCTTCCCTCAATTCCACCTAGTCCTCAAACCACCACCCTGTGGCTGCTCTTCATTCACTACCATGCCCATTTGTGGCACTCATGCCTTCTTTCATTTAGCTTGTCATAATGTAGCTCCCAGTCCTACTCCTATATCAGAGGTTCCCTGGAAAAAGTAATAAAATTCTTATTTGTCAAACTCAGCCATCAGTTCACATCCAACTCTCTTTTCTGAAATTATAGCATGGCTGTGAGTTGGTCCAATATGGGGTTAAAAGGAGAAATTCTGGAGTCAGTGGCCTGGGTGCAGCCAGGTTTCCACCAATGACAAACTGTTTGACCTTAAATTGAATTACACCACCTATCTGCACTTCAGTTTCCTCATCCTTAAAACGGAGAATATCCTAATAATAACTCCTAGCATTTAAGGCTTATTAGCTATCTTAGTGAATGAAGAAGTGGACTCTGAGATAGTGAAAAGCTGGATTGAGAGTCTGGGGAAGAGGGATTTAAGCCCAGCTATAGAATCTTTGTAATAGCAAGATCTCTGGATCTCATTTATTAAATCGACTGGGTGATCATGAAAGTCCTTTCTGGCCCCAACACTTCTATGAGACATTAAACAGTTTGGCAACAACCTGAGAAAAATGTACAAATGAGTGCTAAATGAGCAATCCTTGGAATAGGCTTCCAGGAAAGGGAAGAGTAATGTGAGCAGGAAATTTGAAGGAGGATGAACAGGTAAAACTTCTGTGGACCCTAAAATACAGGGAGGATTTTGATAGATGTGAAAGAGGGGGAAAGATTTCCAAGTTGATGAGCAAAACAACAAAGGCATGGAATGATTTAAGGCCCACCAGGAAGACCTCCCTGACAAAAATATCTTCCCCATCACTTGTCAATAACTTCTGAAGGTCAGTGAATGGTGTTGAAGTTACCATTAAACCACAAATAAGTTGTTATTTATAACTGATAAAAATTAACGTGACCTATAATCTGCAGCCATTTAAAGTAATTTGCAGAAGAATGGTTAATGAAGGATGTACACTAAGGTATTATTGGTGGTTGTCTCTAGGCAGTGGTTGTAACTGACTTTTATTGTGTTTATCCATATTTTCTTAAACGAATAGGAATTGTTACTTATAACTCGAAAGACTAAAGGCATATTTAAGGTTTTAAATGCAGTTAAGGAGGTGGACCTCTTAAGCCGTTAACAATTATTAGTGGGAGGAATTGGTTGACAGATGGCTGGGACACAGTTGAAGACATAGAGATGCCAGGGGCACTAAGAGGGCTATTGCAAGAGGAGATAGAAAAGCGTTGGCCATATTCTGTGCCTAGTTCCTAAATTTGCCCCTGCAACAGTATATTTTAACCTCTTAAAGGCCATTTTGTTCTTTTTTACCTCCACTTTTATTTCTAGTACCCAAAAGGATTCAAGGATTTTATTAATTGCAAAAGATCTCTTTTTAAGTCCTGCTATATAAAGGGTAATGCAACTACTCATTCTTTTTCAGTGGCACATGTCTGTCAGTTATTCTTCACCTCAGTCCTGACTGTCAGATTTCTGGAGCCTTGGAGTAGCTCTGAGGAGTGAAAGGCTGGGCAAGATGACTCATGTGGATAAGCATAAAGGGGATAATTTCTTATACTTTAAGAAGTATTTTTAATTCATTGCCGCCTATAAATCAGGTTTTCTGCAGCCTTTCCGCCATTATGGCCCCAGAGAAAGGGAAAAAGCAACTCCTCTCTCAGAAAGGAGGACAGGATTTAGAAATATTTCCTACCAACCATAAGGGGAAATTTTAAAAACTCTCCAGTGAATGGTGACCTCAAATAAGAGATATAAGCAGGGAGACAATTATGGCATACTTTGTTTGCATTGGGCCCAAGTCTCAAAGGGAGAGGTTATTAAGTAAAAGCTGAGGGAAAAGACAAAAGTAGAGGGGTATCTATCCCCACTTCCTACTGGAACTCAGAAAGAAACTGCATATGATTTCTACACCAATATGGAGGAGTCTCATGAAAGGAAAAATGGTATGGTTAGAAGAAAGAAGGTCTGAGGTGGCATCCCAAAGTCTTCCTCAGCTTCCATGTACTGTGGAAGGGATCCAGAAATTCCCATGTGCCCCTTGGAAGGATTCCTGGTGAACTTCTGAGGCGGTTGCCATGGCAGCAGTGAAGAGAGCCTGTGGCCAAGGACCACAGAGGAAACCTCTCAGTCTGGGAATAAGTGAGAATCCTAGCAGGCCTCAAGAGCAAGTGTGGCACCAGCAAGAGATGAGGTGGCTCAGTCATCTAGGGAAGACCAGCCACCAGGGCCCAACCAGAATGAGAGAGACCCAAGTTCACAGGAAGCGGATACCAGCAGACTGTTGGCAACCTGCAGACAAGTGACACTGGTGTGGAGAACGGAGGGCAGCACAAGGGCCTGAGTGTGTCTAGTTAAGCCCTCCGCTCTGTCCAGACATTGAGATCTGTTGAGAATAGTGGTGCTCTAGTTTGGCAACAGACTCCTCAGAGAGGAAAAGCCCTGGTTGGTAGCATTTGGGGATTTCCATGGTGTGAACACTCTCAGTGAACTTGGAGTTGGGAAGAGATGGAATACACAGCAGTGCACCATTATATAGTATTTCTGCTTACAGATACAATAGACATAAATAACTTTGATTGTACAGATAATAGTAAAATATAGTAAAATAATTAGGAAGTGATGAGTTTTGAGTCTTTTTAATATTTATTTAATTATAAGTTTATAATTTAATTG